CTTGTTTCTATCCAAATACTTCCATCTCCACTCTATGTTGTTGTTAGTTGCAAAGTTGTAAAGTTGTGTCTGACCCATCACGTTCCTCCAGTCCTTTCTGTCCTCTACCATCCTCTGGAGTCCATTTAAGTTCACGCCTACTGCTTCTGTGACTCCATCCAGCCACCTCATTCTCTGTCGTCCCCTTCTTCTTTTGCCCTCGATCTTTCCCAGCATGAGGCTCTTCTCCAGGGAGTCCCTCCTTCTCATCAGGTGACCAAGGTATTTTGAGTTTCCTCTTCAGGATCTGGCCTTCTAAAGAGCAGTCAGGGTTGATCTCCTTGAGGACTGACCGGTTTGGTTGCCTTGCAGTCCAAGGGACTCGCAGGAGTCTTCTCCAGCACCAGAGTTCAAAAGCCTCCATTCTTTCTTAGGGTCCAGCTTTCACAGCCATCCATTGCAACTGGGAAAACCATAGCCTTGACTATACACACTTTTGTTGGCAGGGTGATGTCTCTGCTTTTTAGTATGCTTCCTTCTAGATTTGCCAGAGCTTTCCTCCACAGGAGCAAGCTTCTTTTAATTTCTTGGCTGCAGTTGACTTCAAGAAAAATGGCTAGAAGTCACTTTTTTCAGTGCTGTCATAACTTCAAATGGTCACTATAAATGAACTGTTGTAAAACGAGGACTACCTGTATTTCCAAACCTATTAAATTGTGAAATGGGAACCTAGGTCAGAAATTTTTAAGTGTGATTATTTTTCCCCTCCTTTTTCAGTTCAGCCAACTGGTTTCCAATGACCTGAAAGTTCTAGGAAGGAGCTCATATACTTTCTGCACCGATGGCCAACCCCTTATTCGACAAGTTCTCCATCCAGAAGCATCCAAAAAGGTAAGCTACTAATGGGATCCTGGCTATGACTCAGGACAATATGTTGCAGTGGTGGGTTCCAGATCCCATTCCAACTGGTATGGTTGGAGCAGGTCCAGCGTCAGCCTCATGGACGCGCGCGACGTGCACATGCTTTGTAAATGCCAGCAATGCTTCCGCAAGCCTCTGCGACGCTCCAGCTGCTCGTCGGAGCTGTATGCGCCATATGCATGTGCAGAAGCGCCAAAGGCTTTATAGGACAGTTAAGGAGTTTGGGCAGGCGGGTGGGCCCTCCAGAGCACTGTACCGGAACGGTACCCGGTGCTCCGGGCAGGCTCTGGTATGCCCATACCAGGGTGTACCTCCTGCAACTCACCACTGATATCTTGGATCTTACTTCAGGGCTCCATTTATATTTCTGCTGAGGATCCTTCAAATCTGAAACTACATGTTGTGACCCGCCAGCTGCCAGCTGAGCTGGTGGCAGACTCGGATGATGAGGAGGTTGGGGAGGAACTTGGGCCAGTGATGGAGTTTGGGGAAGGCTCTGATGGATGCTCTGCATCGGAAGCAGAGATAAGGCCAGGGCCATCCAACATTTCCCAGCTGCCTTTGAAGGCTGATATGAGTGAGGAGGAAGAACAGCTGGGGCCTGTTCTAGTTGCACGAATGTGCAGAGTAGTCAGGAGAGGAGAACAACGGAGGACAAGGAGTCAATTTGGGAAGCAAAGCCCATGTGGACGCTGAAGGATCCCTCCCTGGCTGGAGAATAAATAGAAGGAAAGGGGAGTGGTTGTCGTAGGAGACAACAGTTCATATTTCTGAAGACTTTGCTCATTGTGTTTTGTGCATCAAGGACTGCTTGCCAGAATGTAATGTGAAGCCTTTCAGCTGGGAGCTCACAGCCAAGTCTGTTGCTGCATTTAACTCCTTGCAGGACTTTTTGGTGGGTGAATGCCATTAATTCACAAGAGGTAAATAAAGATGGGTTTTTCATGGCAAGGACTCTGTTTCTTGTTTCAGCTAAGGCTGGATCAGAACACTACAATGCAGTGAAACTATGGTCATAATAACTTGAAAATTATGGGCTTCTGATGACAACACATCTTCCTTCCTTCAAGTTTTATTTTAAAAGCATCTTTGTGAAATGAACAATCATCAACCTTTTTAAAAAAAATCTCTACGTCAGTGTTTCTCAACCTTAGCAGTTTGAAGATGTGTGGATTTCAGCTCCCAGAATTCCTGGGAGCTGAAGTCCCCACATCTTCTAACTGTCCAGGTTGAAAAACACTGCTCTACATTTTCCCAATTAGATGCAAGAACACTTAAGTTCTTTAGATCATACAAATAACATACTACCAAAACAAAAAGAAAAAAGAAAAAAACACACCCACCCATAACTCGTTTCTAATCTAGGACAAGGTCATGTCATCTTCAGGTCAAACTGAAGAACTCCTTGTGACTTATGCAGATCATAAATCAAGGAAACAACAATTCTGAGGTTTATTATTTCCTTCTTCTGGAGATAAGTTGTCTTTTTTCTCCAACTTTCCTGTGTGATTCACAGCCCCAGGATGTCCTAATAGGCATGAGTAGCATTTGAACAAGACTGACTTTCGGTAAACTTTTCAAAATGACAAAAAGCAGAGACATATTGGTAGTATGTATAAATAAGGATGGTGCTTTTACAGACTGTCACTATACCCAGTCTGTCTGGCTTTAAGGCAATAGGATTAGCATAACTCTTGGGTAAGCTTTCTAAATTTGCAGGTGTAAAGAGTTGTTGAGTTGAAGACTTTTTGTTATTGTCTTCAAACACATTCTAAACACTAGAAGAATCCTGCATCTAATGGAATCTGCATCTAATGGAATCAGGGGTATGTGATTTTGATTGAATTAGGGTTCTGTATTTAGTCTAATTTAACTGGTCTCAATCTTCTCTAAAGTCCCCTTGTCTCCTTCTCCCATCTGGGAACTCTTGGGAATTGTAGTTTTAAATTAGCTTCATCAACATTCTATGTTTACATTTCTGATAATTTGAAGAATTGCAGTTCCTAAAATACTAATGGGCAGATCAGGTTGATAATAGAAAGATGAACTAAGCATCTAGAAAACCTTACACAAACAGAAATTTGAATACACAGTTAATTTTTTTTACTTCTATTTACCCCTTTATTATCACATGAAAGGCATCTCTAATCTAAATTTGTAGGAATACTTAATTTATCAACCTGATGTGAAATTAATCCCAAGCACCTTTCACTGAAACAATCATTATCTATCCCTCCTCTAGTTATTCAATCATCCTTTTCTTTCCTCTGCATCTCCTATCTGAAATTGTGTGCTTGTGCACAGGTTTGCATGTAATATTTTGAATGTGAAATACTTTGAGCTTGAAAGGGGCTGATCTGAACATATTGGAAGGGTTTAGGGACAGAAACAAACAACAAAGTACCCATCTAGTTTTCTAGTCCCAAGGAGGGATTGCAACTCATGGTCTCCAGCTTTTTAATCTGGTGCCTTAACTACTAGATCCAACTAGCTCTAAATATTCATTATCTCCTTTTTATGTTGTTTCCATTATAGAATCTTCTGCTGTCCGACTGCTTTTATTCATTTTATGATCTACGGAAAGAATTCCATGACTGCTATCCCAGCTCAGCCCCCGTGAAGGATCAAACTATACAATCCATGGCAGAATGTATCCTTTGCAAAGTTTTGCTGAAGTTTTATATCATAAGCAAAGTGATGTTGTCAACTGACAATTTTCATCCTTGGCTAGGTTGGTTGGGCTTATATTGAGAATTGCAATTTTATAATATCCAATATACTCCAGTTTATTGTGCGCACTCACATTTGCGAACGGGTAGGGAAAGTAAGTCAATACCACCCCTGATCCATGGTCAAAACCAAAAGCATCCCTATTTATTTTATTGATCAAATTTATTGGCTGCCCACCTTAGCACAAAGTACCTCTGGACGACTTAAAAAATTAAAAAATTAAACTATATAAATTAAAATTATAAATTAATACAAAATACGAAAGCAAAAAGAAGGAGAGGGAGGGAATAGGATGAGCAGGGAGGAGGTGGGATCTGATATTCATCTATAAGCCACCTCCATCATGAACCATCTCCTTTGGAGCCCAAGACCAACTGATAGAACTAGGCCTTTAGACTCTTATGGAAGGTCAGGAGGGTGGGAGTGGACTTCACTCCCGGGGACAAGACATTCCAAACAACAGGTGCAATGGCAGAGAAGGCCCTACTCCTGGACCATGCCAGCTGGAATTTCATCACCGATAGGGCCCACAGCATGCCTCCTATGTTGGAACAAGTGAGACAGGCCAATCCTAGTGGGATGAAATGGTCCCTCAAGTAGCCTGGAACTATACCGTGAAGAGGAATGGAATGGAATGGAATAGAATAGAATATGAGAATAGAATAGAATATGAGAATGGAATAGAATATGAGAATGGAATAGAATAGAATATGAGAATGGAATAGAATATGAGAATGGAATAGAATAGAATATGAGAATGGAATAGAATAAAATAGAATATGAGAATGGAATAGAATAGAATAGAATAGAATAGCACGGCATGGCACGGCACGGCACGGCACGGTATTGGAATTGGAATTGGAACTGGAACTGGAATTGGAATTGGAATTCTTTATTGGCCAAGTGTGATTGGACACACAAAGAATTTGTCTTTGGTGCAGATGCTCCCAGTGTACATAAAGAAAAACAAAATAGAATACATTCATCAAGAATCATAAGCTATAATACTTAATGATAGTCATAGGTTACTAATAAGCAATCAAATTATACTAAGAAACAAAACAATATAAATCGAAAGATACAGGCAACATGGTTATAGTCATAAGTGGGAAGAGAGAGATACTAGGAAGGAAGAGAAGAATAACAGTAATATAGTCTTAGTAGGTAATATAACAGTGTTGTGGGAATTAGCTGTTTAGCAGAGTGATGGCATTCAGGGGGAAAAAATAAAGGTGATTACCAATATCTTGAGTTGCACTTGGACGCAAGCCAGCAGCCACTGTAGCCCATGGAACAGAGGTGTTAATGGGGCCCAGTGGTGCAATTCAGCCGATTCTATCCGATTCTATCCGGTTTGGGTGAACTGGTAGCAGCAGCAGCGGGAGGCTCCACCCACCCTCCCAGATGTCATCATGTCCCATTTTGAGAGGCGCATGCAGAGAGGTGGTTCCTGTGTTCACATTTATGAGCCAGTAGTGAAGGTAAGTTGATTTCACCCCTGATGGGGCCCCATTGGGAGTCCCAAAGACTGCCCATGGTCCATAAGCATCTTTGTGGCTGGAAAAACCCTTTCACGGTCGTTTCTTAAACTCAAATCATCCAGATATTGGCTATGGGATAGATGAAAGCGAGGAAGACTTCGGAGTGTGGCAGGTGAAAGCCATGGTAGCCATTGTTTTCAGCATGCTTCCAGATACATGCAGTAAGTGAAACTCCGAGTCGTTCTAGGCCTGTTTTTCTTCTCCATCTGAAGCATCTTTTCTCTCTTTGGTGTATTTCCAGGCGCTTGACTTCTTCATTTTGGTCTGTTTCAGGTCACAGGTTTACCACCCCAGAAACAGTGAAGTACAAGTATGAAACGGGACCCTGGTAAGTGGTTTTTTTCTCCATAGGATGGCACCAAATGGAAGCTGGATGGGGGGTGGGGGGCAGAGATGGTTGTGGAGTCCCTGGAGCCTTATTTATTAATTTACAGACTTTTATTCCTGGAACACGGTGGCTCAGTGGCTAAGACACTGAGCTTGTCGATCAGAAACGTCGGCAGTTTGGCGGTTTGAATCCCTAGTGCTGTGTAACGAAGTGAGCTCCCGTTACTTGTCCCAGCTTCTGCCAACCTTGCAGTTTGAAAACATGTAAAAATGCAAGTAGAAAAAATAGGGACCACCTTTGGTGGGAAGGGAATAGCGTTCCATGCGCCTTCGGCATTGAGTCATGCTGGTCACATGACCACAGAGACGTCTTCGGACAACGCTGGCTCTAGGGCTTTGAAACAGATATGAGCACCGCCCCCTAGACTTGGAAACAACTAGCACATGTGTGCAAGGAGAACCTTTATTCCTGGGAGAAAAACAAGGATAGCAAGGAAACATCCCCAGGTATCTCAAGCTTTGTAGAAAATTCAAAGTTTGGGTCCTTGGTCACCATTTTTGCTATCTTTATATTTAATTTTTCCCCCCGGGGCTTCCTAAATGCCGAACATGATAAACATACCATTTTTTAGAGGCAATAAGAAGGGTGACCTTGAGAGAAATGTGCAAGAATCTAGGCCAAGAGGCGGAAGTTGTATGTGGTGGGGGGGGAGGGAGAGAGATAACAACCTAAAAGCAGTTGAGGCAAAGATCTCCCTGATTCATAGGATGGGAGACTGAAAGCACTTGTCAGATTTTCAAGAGTCTGTTATTGTATCTTAGCTCAATACAGTGTCATTCTGGTCTTCCTGTGGAGTTGATATTCTCACCTGCTCTACCTGGCTGCTTTGACACTTACTTGGGCTTAGTGTCTTCCAGTGTCATTACAACACATTGGGCTAAACATTTTGTCCAGTGATTTTGGATTGGTTTATGCCAGTGTTTTTCAACCTTTTTTGTGCAAAGGCACACTTTTTTCATGAAAAAAATCACGAGGCACACCACCATTAGAAAATGTTAAAAAAAATTAACTCTGTGCCTATATTGACCATATATAAAGTAATTTTCCCACAGCACACCTTACACTATGTCACGGCACACTAGTGTGCCGCGGCATAGTGGTTGAAAAACACTGGTTTATGCTATGGCCTGTGAATATTATTGCAGCGTATATAGGCTATGTGCATACGAGAGTTCATATTTTCTCATTTAGTTATTTATTAATGTTATTTTTATATGTTTATTTATTTAGCTTGGAGTAGTAGAATTTTCATGAAAAGTATAGGGAATTGGGATGGGATGGGATGAGATGGAATGGAATAGAAAATAGAATGGAATAGAACATAGAATGGAATAGGAAGAAGAGAAGAGAGCTGTAAGGGACGTTGGAGGTCTTCTAGTCTGGCCTTCTGCTCAAGCCGGAGACCCTCTACCATTCCAGACAAGAATAGAATAGAATAGAATAGAATTCTTTATTGGCCAACTGAGATTGGACACACAAGGAATTTGTCTCTGGTGCATAAGCTTTCATTGTGCATACAAACAACAAAATAATATAATCATAAGATACCAATAAGCAAAGTAGTGTAGTAGAAAAGATGAGAAGGATAATCGTAATACAGCCAAACTGCATGGTAAATATCCTTAGACACAAGACAGCAATGTGGGAATGCAATCCTGCATTCAGTGACAGTTCAAAATTACGAGGGCACTGAAAAAGTAACTTATGGCCAATCCTTGCATGTACAATTGTTGCAGCATCCCACAGTCATGTGGTCAAAATTCAGGGGCTTGGCAATTAGCATGTATTTGCAATAGTAAATCCAGTTCAAAGTGACAAGGGCACTGGAAACAGTGACTTACAACTGGTCCTCACATTTACAACTTGCAAAGCAACCTGGAGTTATGTAATCACCCTTTGTGACCTTCCCAGCTCAGGGGTCTCCAACCTTAGCAACTTTAAGACTTGTGGACTTCAGCTCCCAGAGTTCCTCAGCCAGCGAAGCTTCGCTGGCTGAGGAACTCTGGGAGTTGAAGTCCACAAGTCTTAAAGTTGCCAAGGCTGGGGACCCCTGTCCCAGCTGGCTTCTGACAAGCAAAGTCAATGAGGGAAGCTGGATTCACTTAACAACCATGTGACTCACTTCACAACTGTTATAATTTGCTTAACAGCTGTGGCCAAAAAATAAAATATCATAAAACTGGATAGGACTCATTTCACCTCCGCCTTGGTTAGCGATGGAAATCTTGATCCCAATGGCGGATGTAAATTGAGGATCGCTTGTAGTATGGTAATCCAGAATTGTGTCAGATTAATTGCTGATTTGTATTGTCTTCTCTTTCTTTTTGTAGTAGTAAATCGGAAGCAGTGGACAACGAAACAGTCATACGGGCCCGAGGTCTTCCTTGGCAGTCTTCGGACCAAGACATAGCTCGCTTTTTCAAAGGCCTTAATATTGCCAAGTAAGAAAGTTTCTCAATCGTCCAATAGAATAGAATTCTTTGTGGGCCAAGTGTGATTGGACACACAAGGGATTTGCCTTTGGTGCAAATGCTCTCAGTGTACATAAGGAGAATAAAATACATCAAGAATAAAAGATACAACACTTAGTGAGAATCAAGGTTACTAATAAGCTATCAAATCGTACTAGGAAACAAATAAAAACAATATGAATTGAAAGATACAAAGCAACATGGTTATAGTCACAAGTAGGAAGAGAAGGTAATAGGAAGGAGAGAAGCAGAATAGTAATACAGTCTTAGTAAACTATTTGACAGTGTTGTGGGAATTATTTGTTTAGCAGAGTGATGGTGTTTGGGGAAAAACTGTTCTTGTGTCTAGTTGTTCTGGTGTGCAGTGCCCTATCGCATCATTTTGAGGGTAGGAGTTGAAACAATTGATGTTCAGGATGTGAAGGGTCTGTAGATATTTTCACGGCCCTCTTTTCGACTCGTGCAGTGGACAGGTCCTCAATGGAAGGCAGATTGGTAGCCATTGTTTTTTCTGCAGTTCTAATTATCCATTGAAGTCTGTGTTTCTCTTGTTGGGTTGCAGAGCCAAACCAGACAGTTATGGAGGTGCAGATGACAGACTCAATAATTCCTCTGTCCAAGTCATGGTTGTCCCAAAGGTGTTATTTTTCAAAAAGGCAACTACGATTTCTTGATTTTTTTACATTGAAAACATTTCACTTCTCATCCAAGAACTGAAGAAGCTTCTTGGATGAGGAGCAAAGGTTTTCAAAGAAAACATCAAAAAAGTCCAATTGCCTTTTGGAGGAAAAAAAACCCCACTTTGGGACAAGGAAGAAGGATGGTTTAATGCTGTCTGTTTCAGCTACATATCCATTTTATTTTTCTGTTGCTGCAAATGCTTCTGTCTCCTGTCTTGGTAATCTTAGCTGTAAAGGATTCTTTACAGTCCCTGTCAAGGGACGCGGTGGCTCAGTGGCTAAGATGCTGAGCTTGTCGATCAGAAAGGTCGGCAGTTCGATGGTTCGAATCCCTAGAGCCACGTAACGGAGTGAGCTCCTGTTACTTGTCCCAGCTTCTGCCAACCTAGCAGTTCGAAAGCATGTAAAAAAAAATGCAAGTAGAAAAAATAGGAACCACCTTTGGTGGGAAGGTAACAGTGTTCCGTGCACCTTCGGCGTTGAGTCATGCTGGCCACATGACCAGGCGTCTTCAGACAGCGCTGGCTCTTCGGCTTTGAAATGGATATGAGCACTGCCCCCTAGAGTCGGGAACGACTAGCACATATGTGCGAGGGGAACCTTTGCATTACCTTTAAAGAATTCAGGGTGAAATTTTTATACTTAAAAGTTGGGCACCCAGACAAGTCAGTGTGGACTACAAACTTCAAAAAAAAATATATGAAAACTTGCTGGGTGATGTCTTTATCAAGAACCATCAATGACAAGAGTAGAATGGTATTATGTTCAGCTTTTCTGTGGGGTCAAGAAAGAGGGGGCAATCGCCGTTGTTTCTTCAGAAACTGGAAGGAAGTTCTAGATTAGATATAATCAGATACCAACTAACTGACTCTGCATTCAGCCCACAAATTCCGTCTTGGGACTGATTTCAAGCTGCTGATAAAGTTCTTGTGGTTTAACAATCTGACTTAAGTTTTGTACTTTCTTTGTCATCACCCCCCCATTCAAGAGTTCAAGGGCTTTTTACCACATTTCAAGTTGTTTTGGTTCATTCTAATTCAGCCAACACAAAGAATAGAATAGAATTCTTTATTGGCCAAGTGTGATTGGACACACAAGTCATTTTAATTTGCAACTTGACAGCTCTTCCTTGTGATTTGAGAGTGCATCCCATTGGTTTATAAGCGATGCAATTTTATGATTTTGATTGCACCGTTATTGTGGTTGGCTTTAGAGCAGGACAGAAATCTTGTCATCCAAAGCTCAGTTGCATCAAAAAGCTTAGCCAGATCTTTAGAAAATGACATCGCTTTGGAAGAAAGCTGGATGTGGTTCATTTTCTCTGTGGGTTTTCTGTATTTCCCCTTTCTTTCAGAGGTGGTGTGGCCTTGTGTCTCAATGCTCAAGGAAGGCGAAATGGAGAGGCATTGGTGCGTTTTGTCAGCTCTGAACAGAGAGACTTGGCTATGGAGAGGCACAAACATCACATGGGAAGCCGATACATTGAGGTAACTTACTTAGCTAGCTATAATTGATTAATTATAACTAAAGAACTAGATGTGATGTATTGGATATATGCAAAGAGGATGTAGCAATAGCACTTAGACTTATATTCCGCTTCACAGTGCTTTACAGCCCTCTCTAAGTGGTTTACAGAGTCAGCCTATGGGCCCCAACAATTTGGGTCCTCATTTAACCCATCTCGGAAGGATGGAAGGCTGAGTCAACCTTGAGCCTGATGAGATTCGAACTGCCAAACTGCAGGCAGCCAGTAGAAGTAGCCTGCAGTACTGCTCTCTAACCACTGTGCCACCATGGGTCATGTAACAGTCATTTACTTGTTTCCTATCTACTTAAATAATTTATATGGCTGCCTATCTCATTACCATCTTCCTGAATAGTTGACAACGAATCAAGGCTGAGATTACAATTTTAAAAAATCCAATGTATCATGTGCCAGGAGGCCACATAGATCATTCCATCTTATGATCAATAATAATCCCAAAGGAAAAGACAAACCAACTAACAGGGCTCCCCTATCATCCCAGCCCCAAAACATGAGGGAACAACCAATCATGGCCAATTGGATGAGGGCCATCCAAATCTCCAAGCTACCTTCCCTTTGTATACAGATCTCTTGTGCCAATAAGATTGCATTGAAGGGCCATGGATCTTGACCATCATGTCAGTTCTGGTGGATTAAGGAGAAACATTCAGAATGATCCTACAAATAATTTGGCTCTTGGCCATACAGGACTTTATGGTGATCACTTAAACTATACTTGGAAACTTGGTAGAAGTGTAGTGTTAGATTCCTCTTGTGGTGGTGTATGAGTGTTTTAAAGATAAATTAAATGTACTTTTATATGAGTACTTCCAAAACTACAGAATAAATGTTCTTGAGATCTCCTGATATTCCATTTTCCTTATGGAGCACCGATTACTGGTTCCAGGTGGTTTCACAGACACTTCTGGAAAGCTAGATTGATGTGGTCTACAGGAGAAGTCTCCTAAGGTCTTCCCAAATATTATGTCCTAAAGTGGTTTTGCAGATAACTAGATTTATAAAGAGTATCTTGTGTCATCTTAAAAGACAAATGTGTATATTATGCTAATATCACTCATCAAATATCTTGACATCTATTATAATTATTGTCTTTGCCCCTTTTTTTGTTTCAGGTTTACAAAGCCACAGGAGAGGAATTTCTGAAAATTGCTGGAGGTAAGATCTTTAGGGGTGGGGGGAAGTCTGGTTAAGTAAGAGATTGAAACTGTACTGCGAGAAGGTGCTTTTAAATTGCTATGAGAAATAATATAAAATCTGACATATCAAAATTTATTTTTGGTTCCTCAGCATGCCACATCACCAGATATTGGGGTGGGGTTGGGTATATATAAGTCTAATAATTTTAACTATAAATAGTTGGGAGTTTAGTCAACAGATTCAGAGATAGAGAAGGTTGTTCCAAATAGACCAGCACCGGGAGACTAAATGTTTAATGTCTTTGTTGACATAACTCAACAAACTAGCTAAACTAGCTAAGCTTTTGCTTACTATGCTGTGTAAATTCAGATCCTGTGTTTAAAATCAGTCTGGCGTGTGCACCCAGAAATTTTGCAAGATAACCACAGTTGGGCGCCTTGTTTATTTATTTATTAGATTATATCTTGTCTTGGGGAATGCGGTGGCTCTGTGGCTAAGATGCTGAGCTTGTCAATCAGAAAGATCAGCAGTTCATCGGTTCAAATCCCTAGCGCTGCATAATGGAATGAGCTCCCGTTACTTGTCCCAGCTTCTGCCAACCTAAAATGTTCGAAAGGATGTAGAAAAAATGCAAGTAGAAAAATAGGAACCACTTTTGGTCGGAAGGGAACAGTGTTCCGTGCGTCTTTGGCGTTGAGTCATGCCGGCCACATGACCACGGAAACGTCTTTTGACAGCGCTGGCTCTTCAGCTTTGAAACAGAGATGAGCACCGCCCCCTAGAGTTGGGAATGATTAGCACATATATGCGAAGGGAACCTTATCTTTACCTATCTTGTCTTGGTTTTGTACAACTCGTAATAGCGCATGTATTGCTCACTCATTCTAATAACCCCACAACAACAACATTGGAGATGAGGACTGGCCCAAAGTCACACAACCAGCTTCTATGCCTCGTGGAGGGACTAGAATTCACAGCCACCCATGTCTTCATCCAGCTCTTCCGTCATTAAATGAAAACGTAGAATTAGAAAGAATGTTCAATTTCAAATTTTAATTGACAACTGAGGATTAAGTATAAGACGTCCACTTTCCTGTCCTTGATGGTCATCTCTTCTGTCTAGGCACCTCCAACGAAGTTGCCCAGTTCCTCTCCAAGGAGAACCAAGTCATCATCAGGATGAGAGGTCTCCCTTTCACTGCAACGCCTGAGGATGTGCTTGGTTTCTTGGGCCCCGAGTGTCCCGTCACCGGAGGCAAGGAAGGCCTCCTCTTTGTCAAGTATCCAGATGGCAGGCCAACTGGAGATGCGTTTGTGCTGTTTGCCTGTGAAGATTATGCCCAGAATGCCCTTAAGAAACACAAGGAGATCTTGGGCAAACGCTACATCGAACTCTTCAGAAGCACAGCAGCTGAAGTCCAGCAGGTTGTAGCACATATTTTATTCTGGGCATTTGGGTCTGTTTCACCTTTTATTCATTGGGCCTTCTTGGGTTTAAGAGCCACAAACAACTGGTGCAGAGATCCGGGAGCAATGAGAGTCATTTAATCCTAGAATAGGACACAAACAGCCTTCGGAATTTATCCACTGATCTTCAGGACAACAAAGTGAGTTAGGTGATTTTTCTCAACTTTTCCAGAGGGGAAGTTGGCCTCACTAAGATGAACAGACCATGAAATCAGCTCCGCAGGAAAACCAACACTCCTTTTATTGGGATTAGCTGTAATAAGAGAATCTGGCATGTCTGATTACGTTATACCTCCTCTTCCTCCTATTCATGATTCAGTGACAGGAAGACGTCTGCATGAGCCGCTTCTGAATATTATCTCATCATTCCAGACTTAAAAAGAGTTCCAGGCCTTTTGCCTTGGGAACAGTTCCTACATATTTTTTTTAGCAAGGGTCATCTTCCCCTACTCTCCAGAGGAGAAAATTCTGGCCTAGCTTATCAAGGGTTAAAAACCCTTCCCCTTCACATCACCAGGAAGAATTCCTTGCGATGTCTTCACTCAGCCGTGAAGCATAGTTTCCAAGCCAGGGTTGCTAGATGCACTCATTGCAGTAATCAACACACACGGTATCACGGCTTAGTATAATAATGTGACTTCACTATTTTCTTAGGGTTCTTTGTTGTCGCGCTTTTTGCAAAAGGCTTCAAGTAGAGGAAATCATTTGATTTTGTTGTGTCGTTTCCAAATAGGGAATATAATCAGGGGTGGGATTCAGTCTAATTTTGCAGATGCTAATTTTACATCTGGTTTGCCAAACTGGTAGTTGCAAGGACTAGCTGGCCCCGCCTACCCTTCCCCGCCCCTCCCAGGATTTGGATGCCAGGTAAGCGGAAGGCCCACGCGGAGGCTCTGGGAGGGCAAAAAATGGGCCTCCCAGAAGTTTTGGAAGTTAGGAAATGGGCCCGTTTCCAGTCTCTGGAGCCCAAGGGAGGCTGTTTTCACCTTCCCAGAGGCTCAAGGAAAGCCTCCGGAGCCTGGGGAGGGTGAAAATGCTCCCACCCACCGTGGTGCATAAGGCCGAGTAGGCCACACCCACCATGGCCACGCCCAGCCAGCAACCAGGCAGAGAACCAGTTGCTAAAATTTTTAAATCCCACCCCTGAATGTAATCAACCCAGAGAGGGCCAATTAGGGACCCCTCCTCATTTACAGACGTAACAAATTAAGTCTTCTTGGAAGAGGAGAGAGGGCTGAATTCCAAAGAGACCGTCATCTTCACCTGTTCCAACGAAAACACAAGCAAGGATCCCTCGGCACCACCTCAAACCCCGGTTGGTTCCTCGGGGCAACAGCCTTCTAGGCAGACTGAAGGTAGCTTGACCAGATGGTCTATAATTAACTTCAGGACAATAGTGTCTCTACAGCTGGCTGTTCTCCAGTTACTTCTCTCTGGCAGTTGTCTGCTGGAGACAGACCCAAGAGGGACTTGCTAGAAATATTACCAGTGAGATTTGAAAAGCCGGGAGTTTGTGTGTGTGGTGTGTGTGTGTGTGTGTGTGTGTGTGTGTGTGTGTGTGTGTAGATTTCTCTGAGCTTATTATTTTAGCCAGATGGAGACTTTTCTTTGTGCCACAAAGAGGATGAGTCTGGATGGGTTTATGGCACAGACGGAGACTTCTCTGGATCAGCTTGAAGCAAGAGCAAAGGGGTGGGCTTGAAGGGACGGCCACATTTGCATGGGCTTGCCTTTGTGGACGATGTCCAGGCATGGTTTTTTTTAGCTGTGGGTCATTCATTAAACTAACCCAAGAGCCTCAAGGTGACACACAAGCCCCACATTGCAGTCTATGAAGGCTTGTTTGTTTGTTTATTAAATTTATGTCCTGCCCATCTTCAGTGGTGGATTATTTTATTTTATTTTATTTATGTATGTATTTATTTATTTTATTTGTTAATAAGTACAAGGAAACAAGTATGAAAAACACATGAAAAAACGGCACAAATAAATGGAAATACATAAGCAAAACATAGCCCTAAACACACAAAAAGAGTACCTATAAATGGGGACAGTAGGACAGGGACGGTAGGCACGCTGGTGGGCTCATGCACGCCCCCTTAGGGACCCCTTAAGAAATATGTAAGGTCCACAGTAGACAGCTTAAGGTAAAAGTTATGGGGGGTTAGAGGAACTAACCACCGATCAGGTAGGGTGTCCACACATTTACTACTCTGTTGCTGAAATCATTTTTCCTGCAATCAAGATTAGAACGGATTCCATTTAGTTTGTATCTATCGATAACCCTTGTGTAGTTGAAGTAAAAGTCATCATTAACAGCCAGGACGTTATGGCAAATTATCTTGTGCACTAACCTTACAATTCTTTACACTTTCCTGTCTTAATGATCCATCTGTGAGAAGTATCTCAAGATCCAGCCCCGTGTTTTATTTTCATCATTCCTGCCCTAGTAGATGGCATGGAATTCTGTACCAGGAAATCAGTGTTTAAAGCTCTTTTCTCACACACTCACTTCTCAGTTAAAGAATTCAATGTAGGCCAGGCGGCTAAGAAACATTTGGAAGTATTTTGCTGAGGAAAGCTGATCTGTTGCCTTCTTCAGCAATTAAACCGTTAAGGAACCAGTTCAGCTTAATGAGGCAAAGATCAGAGGGAACCTTTTCACCTTGCGTGCGTTGCCCTTTTTTAAGCCGAGTGCCTGGATTAGCCATTACCCACATTTGTTTCGGCTGGACCAGTTTATCCTGGTTGGCCTGAATTGGCTTGCTATGGTGGATGCGTCGGGGAAGGGCTGAATTCTTAAGCCAAATTCAGGGTGTAGTTTGATACCTTGATCTGTTAGGAAATGGTAAGCATAATATTGCGGTTTGGGCGAAAGGAAAATGGTGATTAATGCGAGATTTGAGCAAGGAGGGAAGTGAGGTGTGTATTAGTAAAGGATGTGTACGCCCTGCTACATTCATACAGTATAGCCCAGTGACAGCTAACCTTTTTGCCATCGCGTGCCAAAAGCGGGGGAGCTTAGGAGGGGGGTCATTCATGGGCATGCCCATACCCATAATTCTATGTGCGTGACCCCCCTGTGCATTCGTGTGCACCCCCTTCCCTGATTTTTGCATGCGATGGACCCATTTTTTACCCTCCCCAGGCTCCAGAGGCTTTCTAGGAGCCTGGGGAGAACAAAAACGCCACCACCATCACCGCGAGGCCCTCCGAAGCCTTCAGGAGACTTCCTTGAAGCCTCCGGAGGGCGAAAAATGACCCAACATGCAAACCGGAGGTCTGTTCCCGAATGGCCGAAAATGAAGGCTGAAGTCAGCTGGCCAGCGCACGCATGCGCGCTGGAGCTGACAGAGCAATGCCTCGCGTGCCCTAACAAATGGCTCCGTGTGCCACCTGTGGCATGCCTGCCATAGGTTCATCATCATGGGCATAGTCTTTATTGTCATTGTACTTCATGTATACAACGAAATTGGTTTTAGTTTCACTGGTGTAATCCATGACAAAAAATACAAACAACATAAATAGTATAAAGAGCAATCCCTACGCAAGTAATTAGGTAAAAAATAAGAGCTGCGGTGGCTCAGTGGTTAGAGTGCAGTACTGCAGGCTACCTCTGCTGATCACTGGCTGCCTGCAGTTCGGCAGTTCAAATCTCACCAGTCTCAAGGTTGATTCAGCCTTCCGTCCTTCCGACGGAAGGTGGGTAAAATGAGGACCCAGACTGTTGGGGGCAAGAGGCTGACTCTGTAAACCGCTTAGAGAGGGCTGTAAAGCACTATGAAGCGGTATATAAATCTAAGTACTATTGCTAAAAAAAGAAAGGAAAGAAAGAAAGGAAAAGAAAAACTCGTCAAATGTTTTAACGTTTGTGTGGAGCGATTGTGGTTGTGTTTAAGAGTCTGACAGTCCAAGGATAGAAACTATTTTTAAACCTATTTGTTCGGCTGGGAGAGCAGAGTAGAAAAGAGAACAGCTTGCACAGAAATGACAAAACATTAATTCTAAATAGGTAAGTCATGTGACTTTGGGTGGAAACCTTGCATTCGCTCACACAAACCATAGGTGCCCATAAAAACAAATTTTCAGCATAAGCGCTCAGTTAGAACTATCACCTTGATGAAATGAATTAATCAAGTTAAAGTTTAATTGAAGATGAAAGGTTGGAGAAGACTTCTCAAATATGAGCGATTCCATAGCATGTTAACCCGGGTAGTCCTCAATTGATAACTATTCATTTAATGACTGTTCGAAATTACAGCGACACTGAAAAACCTGACTTATGACCGTTTTTCACAGCATGGCCATGATCACATGATCAAAATTAGGATGCTTGGCACCCGGCGTGTATTTATGGACGGTTGCAGTGTCCCAGCATCATGTGATCACTTTTTTGCAACCTTCTGATGAGCAAAATCAACAAGGAAGCCAGATTCACTCAGTGTTAATTAACTGCAGTGATTCACTTAACAACGGTGGAAGAAAAGATCATAAAACAGGACAGGATTAACTTAACAACAGAAAACTGACTTAACCACTGTTCTGTTAGGCACTGGAAATTTGGGGTGGGGGGGTCAGCTGTGGTCGTAAGCTGAGGACTACCTCTAGGGCAGGGGTCCCCAAGCTTGGCAACTTTAAGACTTGTGGATTTCAACTCCCAGCTCTGCTGGCTGGAGAATTCTGGGAGTTGAATTCCACAAGTCTTAAAGTTGCAAGTTTGAAGACCTCTGATCTAGAGGCTTTCACTCTTCCTAGTCCGTATCCAGAGAGCAATTCTGTTCTCACTCTCGGTGAACTTTCTCCTTCTGCCAGGTTCTCAACCGGTACATGTCAGCCCCCTTGATTGCTACTCTCCCTACCCCGATCGTCCCTGTCATCCCTCCTCCTTACACCATTGCTGCTGGCAGTTTGCGAGACTGTGTCCGCCTCCGGGGCCTGCCTTACACAGCTGGGATTGATGACATTCTGGAGTTCATGGGCGACGCGACTGGAGACATCAAACCGCATGGAGTTCACATGGTCCTGAACCAGCAAGTATGAAAGTGTTGTAATGTCCTCAAACTCTTGGAGCCATGGGTTCCATGCAAGGGCTCAGAGCCTGTTGTGGGTGTCTCACAGAGGGGTTGTCCTAGGGATAGAATGGAGCAACCATAAACCAGAAGGTGGTCGTGATGGGGTTTTCTTCCATCCCATGAGCCTTGTAGAACCTGTTGTGGCCTGTCAGCTGCTGACCAAATTGGAGGAGGGAGGCACGGTCAGCATCAAGGCAACCTGAGAGCTCCAAGGGGGAAGAGGGAATGGAGCTGGCAGAGAGAGAGAGGGAGGGAGGGAGGAAGGGAGGGAGGGAGAGGGAAAGAAAGAGACGGAGGGAGGGAGACAAAGGCAGAGCCTGGGCTGTCTGTCAGCCCTCAGATGGAGAGTCAACAGCCCCCAGGTCTGGTGGTGACTGATGAGGACGAGGAGGAACAGCTGGATCCAGTGCCTGACATGCGGCTGCACAGAAGGCAGAGGAGAGGAGAGCAGTGGAAATCTATGGGCCGGTCCTTGGGATGAAAGAGCCACCACTGCTAGCAAAGCCCCACTTTAGCTCTGGGGATAAAATTTGGTTCTCTAAGGAAATGTGAAATCTTCAGATTTAATCCTGCCAATAATCAGTCTTGGATATCTGATGAAAATGTCTGGGAAAGCACGTGGTATTTCTTTGTTTGCAGAAGAAGAAAAACTAGTAGAATGTCAGCAGTATCTATCTTAGCTTGTGTAATAAGATTAGCTGAAAATTATACGGAGTTTGCCAAGCTTCCCAGAACGAAATTAAAAGTTAGAGACTTGGCGTTAGTCCAGAATAAAGATGAATGCAAATGAAAAGAACAGCTTCCTTTATGCTGCAAAAGATAAGCAAGTATTTTACTTTTTGTGATTCTTTTTTTAAAGAAACAAAAACCCAAACCCATAGCCAATAAGACAATGAAAAACCGTGCGTCAACTCTGGAATATTATTACGGTTGGTCCCACAATGAGCCAGATGTTTAGACTGGATTTGACATTATTATCTATTGAGTCCTTCTTGAGGACCTGAGAGAGGCAGATGGGGATGTTGGATGGTATTACAGTTATCATCACAGAATGTCAGCTGTTCCAAGCAAAGCTGCCTTTTGCAATTGATTTTTTTTGTCAATGCCAATGGTGTTGAAGTGGTGCTCCAGATGTGTCTATGGAGATTCTCCATCATCCAGGTCATGGTTGTCCCAAAGGTGCTTTCTCAAAAGGCAACGGGACTTTCTGATTTTTCTTTGAAGACATTGTGCCTGGATTTTGCCATGGAGAATCTATTACTATTGGTACTACTTCTGCTTTCTTTTACTGCAGTCATTCTACTTCTATTTGAAGACCTTTGTATTTTAGTACAACGATTATTATATCTCACCTATTTTTTATAAGTCTCACGAAAACAACATAGCAGCATAAGTTGTTTTTTTAGTATATGACATATAATGTCAGTGAAACGTACTACACAAGGCACAAGCTAGACACAATGCAGTGTAAAATGCTGAATGCAGGTTTGTTCCTCTCTACTTCACAAGGTCACTAATCTATATCTATATCTATCTATCTGTCTGTCTCTTTCTTTCCTTCCCTTCTTTCCTTTGCTTGCTTCCTTCCTTTCCTTCTTTCCCTCCCTCCTTCCTTTTCTCCCTCCTTCCTTTCCTCCCTTCCTCCTTCCTTCCTTGCTTCCATTCCTTTCTTCCTTCTTTCCTTCCTTCCCTCCCATCATCCTTCCTTCCTTCCTTCCTTCCTTCCTTCCTTCCTTCCTTCCTTCCTTCCTTCCTTCCAGGGCCGGCCCTCAGGTGATGCCTTCATCCAAATGAAATCTTCTGACCGAGCCTTCTTGGTGGCCCAGAAGTGTCACAAGAAAATGATGAAGGACCGTTACGTGGAAGTCTTCCAGTGTTCCGGAGAGGAGATGAATTTTGTGTTAATGGGTGGCACTTTAAACCGTAGTGGATTGTCTCCGCCCCCTTGTAAGTTACCATGTAAGTCTCCAATCCTCCGCCTGCTCTGTGCTGCTGCTCCCGGCTGACATGCTGGTAGGTGCTGATGGACAGCAGGATCTGGCCCCTTTCTTTCGGGATCAACCCTGATCAGGAATCCGCTTTCTGGGGACAGGCTGGGATTGCAAGCTGGATGAAAATGAAAGACGATTGGCAGGTGCTTTTCTTGAAACGGCCCACAGAATGAAGGTGCCAATGTGGGCCAATGATTTCCAAACTGGGATTGGTTTTGCATCCGGTTAACTTGTGAAACAAGTTAACGGAAAAAGTAAAAAGTGGCCTGGAAAATTATATCATATTTATTATCTATATCTATATTAGATCCAAGAGACGCAGTGGCTCAATGGCTAAGATGCTGAGCTTGTCAATCAGAACAGTTGGCAGTTCGGTGGTTTGAATCCCTAGTGGCGTGTAATGCAGTGAGCTCCTGTTACTTGTCCCAGCTTCTGTCAACCTAGTAGTTTGAAAGCACGTAAAAAATGCAAGTTGAAAAAATAGGGACCACTTTGGTGGGAAGGGAACAGCGATCCGTGCACCTTCAGTGTTGAGTCATGCCAGCCACATGACCACGGAGATATCTTCGGACAGCGCTGGCTCTTCGGCTTTGAAACGGAGATGAGCATTGCCCCCTAGAGTCAGGAACGACAAGCACACATGTGCAAGGGGAACCTTTACCTTATATTAGATTTGTCCTGAAAATTTAGATGAGGTTGCTTGCAAGCCACATTTTCTGCCAAAACAGACCTACAACTGCTGGCATATTGTATTAACCAGTCAGGGTTACAAATCAAGAATGATTTTATCTTATTTTTGGGATTGAATCATTCTTTCAGCCGTCCGCTATTAATAAGAGGTCTAGACATTCACGTTGTTTTCATAAATTCTAAATAATAGAATTAGAGTTAAGAGTTACACACATTTTTCACGCACCCAGGCACAAGCCTGAAATCTTGTTAGAGGTCTGACAGATTTTATACCTTCAGAAAAAGAGTTATTAGTTGAAAAAACTGCTATTTAAGGAATAAGAGAGGAAATATAAGATCATTTAAAATTAAAACTACAAGGTGCTCTTCTGTGCTAAGAGACGTGGTGGCTCAGTGGCTAAGACACTGAGCTTGTCGATCAAAAAGGTCGGCAGTTCAGTGGTTCGAATCCCTAGTGCCGCATAAAAGAGTGAGCTCCGGTTACTTGTCCCAGCTTCTGCCAACCTAGCAGTTCGAAAGCATGTAAAAATGCAAGTAGAAAAATAGAGACCACCTTTGGTGGGAAGGGAACAGCGTTCTGTGCACCTTCGGCGTTGAGTCATGCCGGCCACATGACCACGGAGACGTCTTTGGACAGCGCTGAAAGGGAGATGAGCACCCCTAGAGCCGGGAACAACTAGCACATATGTGCGAGGGGAACCTTATCTTCTGTGTTAAAGGGAAAGGATATCTTCTTTATTAGTTTTTTTGGGGGGGGTACATAAAGTACAAGGGCCACCGTTGTCTTATGGGTGAGATGGAGCGGTACCTAAATTAAGAAGTAAATAAAACATGACAGGTAATTCTCAATTTACAAGCAGATGTTTAGCAACCGTTCAAAAGTTACAAAGGCACTGGAAAAAAGGTGGCTTACAAGCACTTATGAACATTGTGGCATTGCCTTGGTCACATGAACAAAAGTTGGGCTCTGGCATTTCTTTACAACGGTTAATTGTTAATGGGGACATGGGATTGCCCTGTGTGACATTCCCAGCTGGCTTCCAGACAGCAATGGGGAAAGCCAGATTAATTTAACATCCATGTGATTCCCTTAACAACTGGAATGATTTGCTTAACAACCGTGGCAAAAAGAGGTAGTAAAATTAGCCACAACTCGTTCAACAACCGCTTTGCTTAGCAAGGGAAATTCTGGGTCCTAATTCTGGTTGTAAGATGAGGACTATCTATATAAGAACATCCTTAGGCAGGTCCCTGTAATGGGTTAAAAAAACTGCAATTCCCAAAGTTTCTCATTCGTCCTCCTTATTTATTTATTTCTTCTAAGAATCAAGAGGTTTTCTGGGCTGCAGCTTTAAACTGACCAGGATCTCATCAGTTTTAAATCCACTATAAAGAAATGTCACCCTTTGCCCAAATTTGAGTAGCTGCCTTTGGAAGCCTTTCTGCTTTGAACTGCCCTGAGATTAATGTTATTTTAACTAAGGGGAGACTTAATCAACAGAGGATGCTTGTTGTTATTGAAGACAGAGGATCTCTAGGGACAGGAGGTCTAACAAACCGAGAAAGAATGATGAAATCCGTTGGGTTTACATAGCCTTGTAAACAGTATTTCTGGTTGTGTTGAATGACAATTTGTGATTTGGCTTTTTTGATGGAGGGAAAGGAAAAAAGGAAAGGAAAAAGGAAAAAGGGAAGGGAGGAGATGGAAATGAGAAGAAAGAAAGGGGGAAAGGAAAAGAAAAGCACAGGAGGGAGTGAGGGAAGAAGGACAGAAAGAAGGAAGGAAGGAAGGAAGGAAGGAAGGAAGGAAGGAAGGAAGGAGGAAAGGAAGGAGATGGAAATAAGGGAAAAAAGGAAAGGCACAGGAGGGAGGGAGAGAGGAGGGAAGGAAGGAGATGGAAATAAGGAAGAAAAGGAAATGAAAGGCACAGAAGGGAAAGAAAGAAGGAAATGGAAATGAGAAGAAAGAAAAGGAAAAGCACAGGAAGGAGGGAGGGAGAAAGGAAAGGAAGGAAGAAGGGAAGGAGATGGAAATGAGAAGGAAGAAAGGGAAAAGCACAGGAGGGAGGGAGAAAGGAAAGGAAGGAGAGAGAGGGAAGGAAGGAAGGAAGGAAGGAAGGAAGGAAGGAAGGAAGGAAGGAAGGAAGGAAGGAATTCTGCCAGTCTGCATCTTGTTTTAGGGTTGGCTTTGGAAGTCAGAGTTTTGCTGCTTTCTGATACAGAGGAGATTATATTCCTCTGTTTTGAAATTGGTACTTCTCCCTTTCTAGAGAGACACATTTGAGCCCTGATGCTAAACGTTGGAGAGCCCTAAAAATGAGGACTCACAAAAGACTAAGCAGGCCAGTGCGCTTTGTGAGAATTGTCGCTTTTCCCTTCTAGCTGATAGGCGCCCCGAACCTCTTGCTCATCTCTTTTTTTCCAAAGTCAACAGCATTTGCCAAACAGAATCTATGTGGCTGACTTGCTCCACGGTTTGCCTTGTCGTCCCGCTTCAGGCCTTTCTCCTCCCGCCTATGCTGCTTTTCAAACGGCAGCCACCGCAGTGATCCCAGCAGAAGCTGCAATATACCCGTCACAAGCCCTCTTGCCTACAACCAGGACTCAACAAGCTGCAGCTGCAGCCGCAGCTGCTGCAGCCGCTGTCACTCCAACTGTCACTTACTACCCAACTCAGGCAGCTCAACTTTACATGAACTACACTGCTTACTATCCCAGGTACTATTGAACGTTGGCGCGTATTTTTCTGCTATGTTTTGGGACCTAAAATGTGAACAAAGTCTTGCAACTCATTCTGAGTTTCCAGTGGCATTGGATTTTTAAAGTTTCTAGTCCTCCAAGTTCTTGAAATGCGTTTTTAAGATGCTTAGCATTTAAGATCTCAAGGAATGAGGAGAACTGATGTTGTTGAACAAGGTCCAGCTAGGATGAAGTTCTACCTCTGAAGAATGCAAGGTCCTCAATTAAAGACAAAATGCCGGATAAATTTGAAGCCGGGTCTTCAATATCCTAGATTATTAACAGAATAACAGAGTTGGAAGGGACCTTGGAGGTCTTCTAGTCCAGCCCTCTGCTCAATAGAAATAGCACTTAGACTTATATACCACTTCATAGTGCTTTTACAGCCCTCTCTAAGCAGTTTACAGAGTCGGCTTGTTGCCCCCAACATTCTACCCACCTCGGAAGGATGGAAGGATGAATCAACCTTGAGCCAGTCAGGATCGAACTGCTGGCAGTGGGCAGAGTCAGCCTGCAATGATGGATGGATGGATGGATGGATGGATGGATGGAAGGAAGGAAGGAAGGAAGGAAGGAAGGAAGGATGGATGGATTTATATTCTTCTTTACAGTGCTTCGCAGCCCTCTCTAAGTGGTTTACAGAGTCAGCCTATTGCCCCCAATACTCTGTGTCCAAGCAGAAGACCCAGTATGAATTCTGACAAGTAGTGATCCAGCCTCTTCTTAAAAGCCTCCAGCAATGGAGCTCTTGTTCTCTGCTTGAAATTCAGCCAATGTTTTGGTCATTTTGACCAGTTTTCTAAGCCCCCTCCCTTCTGTATATCGGCCAACATGGCCCATGTGCAGGAGTTTGAATCCTCTTGCTTGCTTTATCTTTGGACTGGGGCAGATAACAAACTTGTAAATAAATGCAAAAGCTAGTAAAGATTGTCTGAAGATCTGGAGCTGGGAAAAGCTTCCGTTTGCTTGGAGGATACTTATATGTCTTCAACAGTTACCCTGGCCCTGTTCCAGGCCTTCCCAATCTTTTCTTCCACCACCAAGTCTGTGAGACAGAAAACGGTTATTATTCAGCTGGGCTTTCCCCCCAGGATTCCCTGTCTTCCTTCCGCAGCTGGTGGAGGAAAAACTGCATTGATTTTACGGAGTTTGCAAATGTGAGTTTACACATTTGTCCTTGCATTCTCCAAAGCCTCTTTTTCACCTTCATGAGCCAAGCTGCTCCATAGCCCTGGGACATAATTTATTTTCATGCATTCCTGTTTTGTCCTTCAAAGGGCAGAAAGTGTTCTGAGAAGGTTTACTGCAAGGTTAAGAAGGGAACTAGCGCTTTTAGTATCACGAAAAGCTATTTTTTTTATAAAAAAAAACAAGCAGAGGTACAAAACTAGTAAAATTGACGGGCATGCCAAAGAAAATAATATCCTCCCCCAAAAAACAGGATAGTAACAAAGAGAAGAAGAAAGATCAAGAAACTACAAAACAAATACAAAAACCACAGAATCAATAAGGGATAGATTGTAGATGAAATAAGAAATATGAATTTTATATCTCACATTCCTTTGTGATAAAGGAAACACAATGGATATGTAAAAGATGTAAAATGTGCTGCAAAGACGATATGATTGTATGAATAAAATAAAAAACTTTTTAAAAAAGAAAGTAATAAATAATATCCCAGGTCTGTTTAGAAGAAAATGCTAGAACCCCATGTGTGCCATCCTTGCAAAGCTGAGCCGAACTGACCCCAGCCAGATGCTCTCAGATTATATTGACTGCAATGCTCAAACTTTATAAGCATCGTAGCTTTTTCTGCTTGAGGGTCTCACCAGCATTGGCATCCTTCAGTCTCAAAAGACGATGGTATCATGCTCTGGGAAGAGGTAAAGCTGGAGTGTCCTCTCCAGAGCACGAGGCCTGGGTAGATGAATATGGAGGATAGACTGTGACCCAAGCAGCAGATTCCCCCCTCTCCATGTTGCTGAAATAGTCCAATGGAATGGCAAAGACAATACGATGGATTCCAGCTACGTCACAGGAGTTAGCAGAACGTGGTTGTACACAGTCACGAACTGCTTCCGGGACTCCGGTTCCGGATTTTGCCTCCAGGTTGACTCCCGAAGTCTTTTCCAGTAGTGGATAGAGCCACAAGGCAGTGGAGGAATGTAATCAGAGTTTCCCTTCTCCTAGAAGATGATTCTGCCGCATTATCTGCCGTTGGGGCGTAGAGCCCTCTTCCGCCTTCAAAACCGTTGACCGTCTGCTCCTATAATCCTGGAAAGGGACCCTTACAAGGTGCTACCAGCCGGGCCAGCTGGACCAAGGTTTTTTTAAGGAGGTGTTACTCCTCCATCACTCACCCTTCGTCCTGACTTGTGACAGGTAGAGTCTGGCTTCCCAAACGTTGGGCCCAGGATGGCAGGTTTCCCTTAAATATTGAAGCACTGCTTATTATGTCATCCTTAGTTCTTCCTTTCATTAAACTAGACACGCCCAATTCCTCCAACCATTCTTCACGTGTTTTAGCTTCGGAGGTTTGGAGGGTGGTTTACAGCCCATAATATTATCCTGTCCTTGGAAAAGGGTCTTGAGAACATTTTGACCAGCCAGCCAGATGTTCCCATTTCTCTACAAGAGTTTCTACTTTTAAAATGGGAAAAGTGTGGGAGCTTCATCATTGAAAGCTTTCATGAAGAGACCGGACTTTCATTTGTCAGAAATAGAGTAGGGTCTCCTGCTTGGGCCTCCATGATGACTTACAAGGTCCCTTCCAACTCTCTTAATCTTAATCTAATCAATCTTCTTTTCAAGCAAATGGCTGTCGGAATCATTTATTCAATTCTTGTGACTTTAGAAGAGGGTTTAATCAATCTGGGTAAATTTAAGATGTGTGAATTTCAACTCCCCGAATTCCCCAACCAGCGCTGGCTGGGGAACTCTGGGAGTTGAAATTCACACATCTTAAAAGTTGCCACCAAGGTTGAGAGACCTGGTTGAAGAGAATGAGTTCCCAGTCCCCAAGGGTTCTGATCCAAGTGATGTGCCAATCGGTGGAAACAGCCCTTCGACCAACATGTTCTGTTCCTCTCTCTTCAGCCCACCAGTATCTCCAACCACGGTTGGCTACATCACGGCTCCCCAAGCCGCTGTTGCAGCCGCTGCCTCGGCTTCTCACACTCCAATGCTCCCTCAAGCAGGCGCCCTTGTCCGGATGCAAGGATTGCCCTACAACGCAGGAATGAAGGAAATCCTCAGCTTTTTCCAAGGGTATCAGGTGAGTGCCAGGCCTTTTTCTCTTGCATCCCCTTCTCCTTGTAAGATCATCTAGCTCAGCGGTCTCCAACCTTGGCAACTATAAGCCTGGAGAACTTCAACTCTCAGAATTGCCAAAGTTGGCTGGGGAATTCTGGGAGTTGAAGTTCTCCAGGCTTATAGTTGCCAAGGTTGGAGACCCCTGATCTGTCAGGATGTTTCTGGGAGTTGAAGTCCTTTGCTGGCTGTGGAATTCTGGGAATTGAAGTCCTCCAGGCTTATAGTTGCCAAGGTTGGAGACTCCTGATCTGTTGGGATGATTCACAGTGGGCATTTCCCAAATCTCATTCTGGAGAGAAGCTCTTCAACGCCAGAGGGATCTGTAGCCTTCTGAGAACTTCCAACATTGGAAAATAGAGACCTAGTGTTAAATATTCAACGTGGATGGGTGTTTAAACCTACAGATAGTCCTCAACTTACAACTATTTGTTTAGTGGCCGAAACAGCACTGAAAAAAAGTGGCTCATCACCATTTTTTTTCACACTTATGAGACATTGCAGCATCTCCATGGTCACGTGATCAGAATTCAGACACTCTTGGCCCATATTTATGATGGTTGCAGGAAAAGGATCCCCTTTTGCGACCTTCTGACAAGGAAAGTCAAATGGGGAAGTCAGATTTCCCTAAACGACCGCAGTCACTAACTTAACAACTGCAGTGATTCACTTAACAACTGCAGTGAGAAAGGTCATAAAATGGGGCAAAATTCACATAACAACTGTCTTGCTTAGCAACAGAAATGGAGGTGGTAAGTCGCGGACTATCTGTATAACCAAGTAAACAGGACCACAAAACTTTGGTTTTAGTGAAGTCGTAATGGGGGCGGATGTTTTATTTTTGAAGAATGTCTATTGATTTAGAGATTGTGCTGTTGGTGTGATGAGGTCATCACTTATATGACAGAAGTGAGGGTCTTGGCATCATTGGACACCACTTTTGCATTCCTTTTGTCCATTTCCATCATTTCCATTGCCATGGACTTTTCATCCCCTTAATGCAAAGTTAGTCCCAACAGATTCTGGTAGAATATGGTTTCACTCTCTGTATGAACTCGGGTTATAATCTAATGAAGTTGCACCATGGCAAAGAAAGTGACTTTTCCTTCTTAAAATCACTGATTTCTGTTTTCTTAAGGTGTTGGGTCTTTTTAATTTTCAAAATGGCCTTTGAAACTATGAGTTTTGATCCTCCGTAGATCACTTTTTTCCCTTGGGACACAATATGCATTCCTGTGCTCACTTGTAACTAATTCTTGCTGCATCTCATCCTGGTTCAGGTTTTCTTCCCCATTTAGGGAGAGAGAACGTGTGTCTAGCAAAAACAGAGGATTGGGGAACAATCATAATTGGCTCCCAACCCCCCTGACTTCCCTGGACAATCCCTCCTCTCCACAAGTGGCCACTCCCACCAACACTGACAGGGCAAACCCCTTGTGTATAGATAGAGAGCAAACCCCACTCCCTTCTGACATTGATGATGTTACCTACTTGGGTCATGAAATGTCTACAAGAAAACCACCAGGCTCAGAGAGCACCAAGGACTCCACAGTCGTCCTCCCCCTTCTCCTCCTCCTCCTCCTCCTCCTCCTCCTCCTCC